AACCTCTTCAACCCAAATTGAGAAATCGAGCCCCTTCAACAGAAAAGACTCTCCTCTATTTTCAAGCCATCCCCTACCCCAATTTTGACAGTCACAAAATCCCTACTTATCAAAGGTGATTTTAAAATGCTTTTCCCACCTTCCCTTCTTTATGATGGATACACATGACCAGAAAAAATTAGGTTTTTTTTTTATTCACTTTTTTAAACCTCAGGAATGTCAAGCTCCCTCTTCGCTGGTTTTATAGGAGGACTTCATTGGAGATTCATATGTGCTTACCCCAAACACTTAGGCTGTGTCTAGACTGGCCAGTTTTTTTGGAAAATCAGCCACTTTTCCAGAAAAACTTGCCAGCTGTCTACACTGGCCGCTTGAATTTCCACAAAAGCACTGACTTCCTACTGTAAGAAATCAGTGCTTCTTGCGGAAATACTATGCTGCTCCCGTTCGGGCAAAAGTCCCTTTTACGCAAAGCTTTTGCGCAAAAGGGCCAGTGTAGACAGCTCAGATTTGTTTTCCGCAAAAAAGGCCAGATCGCGAAAATGACGATTGGGGCTTTTTTGCGGAAAAGCGCGTCTAGATTGGCATGGACGCTTTTCTGCAAAAAGTGCTTTTGCGGAAAAGCATCCGTGCCAGTCTAGATGCTCTGTTCCGAAAATGCTTTTAACAGAAAACTTTTCCGTTAAAAGCATTTCCGGAAAATCATGCCAATCTAGACGCAGCCCTGGTGGTTCTCAGCTGGGGACACATGTAACCTTCGAAATATGCAGAGGTCCCCCAGGGGTACATCAGCTCATCTAGATATTTGCCTAGTTTTACAACAGGCTACATAAAAAGCACAAGCAAAGTCAGTACCAACTAAAATTTCATACTGACAATGACTAGTTTATACTGATTTAAATACTGATTTTTGTAAGTAAAAACAAGCAGGATTTAAAAAAAAAATCTTTCAGAACTTCTACAAAAAAGACAGAAGCTCGATCTTTGTGTCTTTTACGGGTGATATTTAAGAATGAAAAGGACAGATCTGGATCATCCAGTGGATTGACTAACCCTCCAACAAGCTCATGTCACAGTGATGATCGCTGGACAGATTATAGACGGGTTAAGGCGCTCACTCCCCTGTCTGAGAACCAGAGAGCTCTCCTTGGTTTTCTAGGCTGTAGGATCCTTTCCTCCCAGTTTGGAGGCTGAGTCATACTGCTGTCAGGAATGATTTCTGTTTATGACAACAATGGGCCCATTGCTCTCCTCACTTATTACAGCGTAAGTCAGGAGAGAGCACACTGCAGCCAATAGATTAGAGGGCCGTAAAAAGTCAGTGTGAAGGCAGAATCCGTCCTGGCCCCCAGGGTAATTAGTATGAATAAGAGCACGGGCAAAGCTCTTTGCTGGTATAAATGGGCAAAATTCCACTGAAGTCAGGGGAGCTGCATTCATCAACGGCAGCAGAGAACTTGGACCAGGATTTGGATGAGAGATTCTCATTGGCTCGGTTTTCCTCTCACACTGATGTTAAAAGCATTTTCGGAAAAGCACATCTAGATTGGCAGGATGCTTTTCCGCAAAAGCACTTTTTGCGGAAAAGCGTCCGTGGCCAATCTAGATGCGGTTTTCCGCAAAAAAGCCCCGATCGCCATTTTAGCCATCGGGGCTTTTTTGCGGAAAACAGTACTGTGCTGTTTACACTGGCCCTCTTGCGCAAATGATTTGCGCAAGAGGGCTTTTTCCCGAATGGGAGCAGCACAATATTTCTGCAAGAACACTGACGATCTTACATGAGATTGTCAGTGTTCTTGTGGAAATTCAAATGGCCGGTGTAGACAGCTGGAAAGTTTTTCCGCAAAATCATATGATTTAGCGGAAAAACTTGCCAGTCTAGACACAGCCCAAGAGAAGAATCAGGCCCTTTATAATAATTGGGGTTACTAGAGGCCCTTACTGAGTCCCCATTGTGCTAGGTGCCACAAAAACATAGCAAGAGATAGACAAAGGGTGGGGCCAGGATAAGTGACTTGCCCAAGGTTACACAGGTCAGTGACAGAGCCACAGCTTTAGCCTAGGGCCCTAGCCATTGCATAACACTGCTTGCTCAGCCACGTTTCCATCACATGCAGCCAGCGTTCACCCACCTTGGATCAGTGAGCAGGTCTGAACCATAGACCATCAGAGCCATCTTCCATTCCTTGCCCAAGGGGAATCAGTACCTATTGTGAACAGCGGAATGGGTTTTACAATGTAAAAACCACGATCATGCGTAGCCTTTGGATACTGGCTTCTGTGTGAGGTTCCCAAGCAAAGAATGCAGAGGATAGTCTGGCTTTAGCTACTTCAGAGCACAGTCCAAAACCACAGAGCACAAAATAAAACAATTACTGAAAAATACACACTAGAGAGGGAGAAGATGCAGTGGTTTCAGATGCATCCATGCCCTGTGGCTCCCAGCTTATGGAAAATGGAGAGCGTGGTACTCAATAAATGGTGAGGGGAGAAAACAACCCATCTGCTTGTTTGTGTGTTTTATTCAAAATGAATCACAGAGCCAGGAGTGCTGAGCCCTCCATTAATAACCCTGACAGCTCCTCTCTGTCTGTAATTGAAACAGCTCCGATAATGAAGGTGTTACTCCAACAAGCTTCAAGCAAACCATTTTTCCTGATGTCTCAGGCGTCTCAGTGTGGATCTGACAACACCCAGACAACGTGCATGGTGGAGTCATGTCTAGCAGCTTTTGTATTCCCTGCAACACCCACTGCGGCTGGTCTCATTTTTCCCTGTAGTGGTAGGTGCAGAACCTCCATACAGTCCCACTTACAAAGCCCACCCTGTTGGACTCTGAAGAACATTCCCTCCCAGGGCAGGAACTGTCTCCTCTCTCTGCCCCTCACCCTTCCTCTGCTTGGGAGCCCTGCCGTCTCGAGGTCTGCCTAATGTTAGATGGCCTCAATGCTCTGCCAGTGGACTCTTCCCCTGATATGGAAGGCAGATTGCCTGATGCTAAGGACCTATCCTGCAAGGTGCTGAATGCCCTAAAACTACTGGCTGCGTCTAGACTGGCAAGTTTTTCCGCAAAAGCGGACTTGCCAGCTGTCTACACTGGCCTCTTTGAATTTGCGCAAGAACACTGACGATCTCATGTAAGATTGTCAGTGTTCTTACGCAAATACAATGACTCTCCCGTTCAGGAAAAAGCCCTCTTGCGCAAATACTTTTGCGCAAGAGGGCCAGTGTAGACAACTGAGAACCGTTTTGCGCAAAAAAGCCCCGATGGCAAAATGGCGATCGGGGCTTTCTTGTGCAAAACTGCGTCTAGATTGGCATGGGCGCTTTTCTGCAAAAAGTGCTTTTGCGCAAAAGCGTCCGTGCCAATCTAGACGCTCTTTTCCGCAAATGCTTTTAATGGAAAAACTTTTCCGTTAAAAGCATTTGCGGAAAATCACGCCAGTCTAGACGTAGCCACTGTGTATTAGTTTCCAGGGTCAGGGAAGACCTAAACTACACATTAATTCATTGCTGGTCTTTAGCCACAGTGCCTCAGAAATGCACCCCACATCTATTATGAAGGAACTCCCCCATCTCTCTCAAATGAGAGAAGAGTTTGGTCTTCATGTTAAGTTCCTGCAATTTCAGTTTCCTCTCCAGGCCACAACCTGGGACAGCCTGCACATCTCAGTTACGAGCTTTGTTGCCAATTAGTCAAGGCAGCAAGACTCAAAGCATTCATTCCACTTATGCTTAGAAGCAGACTCATTACACCAGTTGCCTTTCCTGAAGGTTTTCTTTGTCCCACTGACAAGCGCCATGGGTCTGTTAGACACACTTTCTCAGTCATCTGAGGCACGCGAGCTCCTCCAGTCTGGAGTTCCTATCTGAACTGAGACACACCCCGGAGCTAAAGAAGAAACTGCTGGGTTCCACCGCAGCCGGACACCTCCAGATAAAAGCAATCGCATTCACAATCAACTAACCCTTCCCTCCTCCATCCGCCGCCAGGAACACAGACGTCCCTGGAAGGAACAAAGCAGGCTTTGTGTTCTGAACAGTGTCTGACAAACACCATCTCACTGCCAGTGCCCGGGAAGAGAGTTGCTCACTTTCCACACGTCTGAGAGGAGAAAGCAGCAGAACGCTTTAGCAGAGGCAGGCACACTCAGGGTTGGAGAGGCTGCAGCCTTCCCTGCCAGCAGGCATTATTTAGTGTGGAGGGGCTGAGGCTGGAGGGAGGGGAAGAGGTTAAGGACTGGGTTAAAAACCGTTCGGAATGTTCCTGCACACACGGAAACCCAGGTGCAGCACCAGGAGAGCCCAGACTAGGCGAGGGAGAAAAAGTTTTGGCACTTTGGATTTCCTGCATCTTGAGTATTACACCCCCAGTTCAAGCGAGCAGTTATGGAAATGGGGAGATTGCACCCTGTGCTACGGACAGAACTCCCCCAGATCAAACTGCATCTTTACGGCCTGTAGGAACATTAGGTTCAAATGACTTTCCCTGGAGAGGGCCCAGCAGATGGATGTACAGATGGATGCGCACACAGAGCCTGAGGTCAGGAGCACTAGCTGGACCCTTCTCTCACCTCAGCATCAGCGAATACGATCGTGGGACTTTAGTCACACAGTGCTACGCCCTGGACCGTGCTTTGTCATACCCAGCCCTCTTGCGCCCACCCATTCACTCATGCCTTGGGACACGGAGTCAGCTTTTAGTTGGCACCCCTGACCATCTGCAAACCCTTGTGCCCACCCAATTCTATAACAACCACCCAGGTGCTTCCCCATGCACATAAGCTGCTCGCTGCCCGCTCTCCCGTACTGATCTGTCTCACCGGGTTCCTTCTACTAGCCAGCTCCCTGCAGCTGATCACTGCCCCAGCCCTAAGAAGGAGGGGGAAGGGGGGGGGGGAATGCAGGGGAGCAGCAGTGTCTACGAACCAGAGTCTTTGTGGGCAAAGCTACGCAACATGCAAGCTCACCAGGACTCATGACCAAGCAAGGCACTGGCTTCAACATCCCTTTATTGATTACAAAGTGTCTAAAAATCTAGAGTGTCTTCAATATAGAATCTCCTTTCTATGTACACTATGTATGGCTTAGGTTATTTCTCTGGGGGTGGGGGGTCAGTGATGATAGTCCAGCATGTAGTCCATAGCCCCCAAGCCCTTTGGACTCTCCAGTACCTGTACCTGCATTTTCTTGTTAGCCAGCTCCCCGTGTGGAGGTGCCAAAGGTCTCTTCACCCCTTGTGAGCATGAACTGAGTCTATCTTCTTCTATTCCCCCCTTTTCAGCCCACAGCCCATCTCTGGGCTCCGGGGGTTGGTAGCCCATCTCGCTGGGGTCCAGAGGATCCTTGGACAATAGGATACAGATGGAGGGCACATTCTTGTGGACAGTCAGGTTCTCCACTCGGCCATCCGGCTGGGGGTCCTTGTTCTCCCACACCTCCAGCAGGGTCTTGTACCGCACCTTGGTGACCTGGTGAAGACCTCCCAGCTTCCTCTTCATGATCTCCACACAGGTGATGGTCTTGGTGACTGCCCGACCACAGCCACTGAAAACTATCTGCCGGGTGCCTTTCAGCTCCATCCTGGCCATGGCAAAGCCCATCAAATTCCTGATCTTGCTGCCCTCCTTCACCTTCATCTCCACCACACCGGGGGGCAGGTCGGGGAAAGGCAGTGGGCTATCCTCCTCCGACGTCTTGACCTTTCTGAAGTTCTCCATCCTGGACTGGACTACGGGGGGCATGGGTGTGGATTCCACTCCTTTGGCAGCCATCGCTTGCTCTTCCTGGAGGGAAAACGAGTCAGACCAGATGTTTAAATGCCAGGCTCCATCGGCTCCAAACTCCCTTTGCTCCAGGTCAGCAGAGAAAGGGGGCCAATTTAGTGCTGCTTTTCCATGATCTTGCCTCTTCTGACTGGCTACTCAGCACTCTCCCTTCCCAGGTGAAGGACTTTTTGTCAAGCCCAGATAGTCCCTTCTCCGGAGGATCAGTCCCCAGCAGGGACGGAGCTGCAGAATTCTCCCTGGGTGGGAATCCCTGCCGGTGCCTCCTCTGCTCCCACTGCAGCACTCGCTTCTGCTGCTCTTTGCTTCATTCTGGACTTCAGCAGCCCCCAGAGCGGTTTTGTGTAATTAGCAGATCCTCCTCCCCCTCCTCCCCTCCCCACACCCCTGATCTGCCTCCCAGCCCGGAGCCCTCTGCCTCATCCCCACTTCCCTCAGTCTCTGGCAAAAGCAGAGTCTGACTTTTCCCCAGTCCAGGAGCAGCTGGGGGAGGGAGAGGGAAAGCTACTCTTTCTCTTCATGATGCTTCCGGAGTCCTGCCCCCTTAAAGAGAAACTGGCCCCTTCTCATGGGCGATTTCTCCAGCTCAAGGACATCAACTGCTAACTGCATATGTCAGCAAAGTACAGGCGGTAGCTGCTACTGGTGCCTCTCCCTGCCTGGCTGGAGCAGCTCCCACACTGTGCAACCCCGCAAGGGGCACAGATCTGAGTGGCCCTTTGTTACAATGTCCTGGGGACTGTGTTTTCCATTGTCTTCTCAGATTCTCCCCTAAATTGGGGTCAGCCTCAGCCTGTCTTTTTTAATGACCCAGCCCGTCTCGGACAATCAGGTGGACTCATACCTATGTCTCTTACCCTGCCTTGAGAGCAAGCCGTTCTTTTCCAGCCAGAAGGTAAAACTGCAGTATATGGGGAAACTGAGGTACAACCAAACTTCAAAACATATTACAGGTAAGTTCCTCTTTGTCACAGGGAGTCTCCATGGAGGGGTGCAGGGAACGCTGTCCCTCAATCCCTGCCCCTGGATCAGCATAGGACATTTCATCCTCACATAGCTTATAAGGCTCCTAGCATGGTTCAATCTCCCTCTTTAGCTGCAGGAGGTGAGTGTTAGGGGACAGCTCAGCCTAGAGCTCCTAGCCTCATTTGCCCCTTTCCTAGAAATCTGGGGACGAATGCTATGGCCGATCTGGTGCTGGCTGGAGGGAAGATGAGCAAACAAACAGTTCTCCTGCCTCGCAGGGGAGTATGAGAGGGGTTGGGGGGTACCGAGGTGCAGTCAGAGCAGTGGGTGAATGCCCACAGTGCCCTGGAGTCATTCTGCGGTCAAGTGCTGCAGCCAAGCAACTCCGACAGCCTGAACATGGAGTTCCAGCCATGACCCGCTAGGGGAGATGGGTCAGGATGAATGACCCATTGGCAATTCGGAGCGGCATGTTGCAGGAACAGCGACTGAATCTGCTCACTCCAGAAGTGTCCCTCCTTCCCACCTAGGGTCTGTTGGGAGGACGAGCGCTCAGAGGAGTGGGCTGCGTACGTCAGTGTCTGCGTCCGGTAGTGGGGCAGTGTGTATGAGCCACGCAATAAAATGAGCATGAGACCCAGTGAACCTTGTAAGCTGAGCACTTGGCAGCCACCCCGGAGAAATTCAAATGCTGCCCAACTGATTAGCAGAGCACCACAGTGCCCACAGCCAGCAGCATGTGTTTCTACTGGTGGTGCACACCCGCAAATGCCTCGGTGCACATAACAACATTTATTCCACACATGGATGGAAAAATTAGAGGGCCCATTGACAAGTACCCTATTACCCTTGATCTCTTCCCTCTGTGCCAGAGCCCATTTCCCCTTTGGCAGTAATGCTTTCCCAATGAATAGGGAGGAGGGATGGAGGGACTACCATTTGGTGATGTCCTCACTCCACTGCCTAACAGAGGGAGCAAAGGAATGCAAAAAGAGACATAAAGGAGGAGAGTGACAGGGCGTTTGCCCTGCACTGGCCCTTTAAGGGCAAAACCCCAGCCCTGAGTGAGGGCTGGGAGGAAAGCCCCAGCTGAGGCATCTCTTGCTAATGAATAGCAGGTTTAAAACTAATAAGCGAAAGTTCTTCTTCACACAGCGTGTAGTCAACCTGTGGAACTCCTTGCCAGAGGAGGCTGTGAAGGCTAGGACTATAACAGAGTTTAAAGAGAAGCTGGATAATTTCATGGAGGTTAGGTCCATAAAAGGCTATTAGCCAGGGGATAAAATAGTGTCCTTGGCCTCTGTCTGTCAGAGGCAGGAGAGGGATGGCAGGAGACAAATCGCTTGATCACTGTCTTCGGTCCACCCTCTCTGGGACACCTGGTGCTGGCCACTGTCGGCAGACAGGCTACTGGGCTAGATGGACTTTTGGTCTGACCCAGTACGGCCGTTCTTATGTTCTTAGGGCCGAGCTGGGTGCTATATAAAGAAGGACTCCTGGTGGGAGGGGAAGAACTGACTGCTGCTCTGGAGAGAGAGTAGTAGGACCCTGATTGCTAGACAAGCAGGAGGCTTCCTGGTGGTAGAGCTGGGGGGGCTCTGGCCAGCCAAGCTCCCAGGCTGCAGGGCCTGAAGCTACTGGGGCTGCGAGAGGCAGCCATGGTAGGCAGGGGCAGCAGGTCCACCCCCCTTTGCCAGTGATGAGTGGCCTTTACAGATGGCAGTTTGTCCCTGAGCCAGGGGCTAGATGAAGACTGGCAGTGGGTCACTAAGGCAAGGTCGGTACATGTCTAGGGCTATGGCTGCAGGCTTCTTGCACGAGAACTCTTTTGCACAAGAGTTCTTGTGCAAGAGTGTCCATACTGCCAGGTGCTTTTGCACAAGTGTCCAGGGCAGTGTGGATGCTCTCTTGTGCAAGAGGCAGGTGTCTCCCATGTTTTTTCTCTGACCACGGCATCCTCTTCAGGACACTGCCGTCCGGCAGTGTCCATTCCAGCGTCTGAGCCCCCCTTCTTGGGGTTGGTGTTTATTCTGCTTGCCCTCCTTCCAGGGCACACCTGGGCTATGTTTACACTGCAGGCTTTTTGCACAAGAACGAAAACTTGCGGAGCATCTACGCTGCACGTGCATAAATTTACAGTACAGCGTGGGGAAAAGGGCTTCTTGTGGAAGAGTTATTCTTCTCCCTGTGAGGAATAAGCCTTTTTGCACAAGAGCTCTTGCATAAAAAGGAAGTGTGGACAGGCAACATGGATTTATTGCACAGGAAACCCTTATGGCTAAGAGAGAACTTTCTTGCACAAGGCAGCGTGTTTGGCTCGCTGGACAGTTCCCAGGACTGAAGGTGTTATGGTGGGGAGTCTGCCCTGTGACAAGGAGGAAAAGCAGCCTCACCAGTAGGGCTAGGATCAATATCCAGCAAGGGAGGCATGAGGATCCCAGCTCTCTGCAAGCACAATTTGCATCGCTGCACCTGTACGTCTGATCTCAGCCACAATCTCTTCCTCCGTCCCAGCTCCCAAATTCTGTTGTTTACCTCTTCCTCAAGGCTTCCATTCCTCGCTGATCAACCCTGCTCTCCTCTCTACAGTCTCCCTCTTGTCTTCTGCATTGTCTTTCTCCTCCCTTTCCCTGCCCTGCATGTTCCATGCCCATGAAGGTTGTCGGTCTGAGCCAGGGTAACTAGGAAGGAGGAAAGGGATGGGTTAATTTAACTTTACACAAGAGCCAGCGACTTGCCTGCTCCCAAATGCTTTTCATGTGAAATGCATGTTAAGGATCCAGGGGGCTAACCGGTTCATTCTCCCTGCCCATTTGTCTCTTGTCTTTCCTCCTCTCTCCACACCCTTTCTGTTCTCTGACACTGCATCCTAGGCCTTCCCTCCTTGCTGTGATGTGGGCCGTGCATCTCCCCTGGTGAAATAACCCTCAGGGTGCATTCAGGGTGAACTGTTGCCTCATCCATCAACTTCCAGTGACAGACGGACTGTTGGGAGAGACAGATGGAGACTGTGACAGTGCAACGCAGGCTGGGAGGAAGGTCAATGGGAGGTAGGAGCGTAACCTGCTCAAGCACTTTTGAGAATCCCACTGCATATTTAGGCACCTAAATTGCTGGGTAAATCTAGGCCCAAATCTTCAAGTCCCTGGAGTTACTTGGTCATTGCTAAGGCAAGAGTGGGCTTTATAGAGGGAGAACTGTCCCCTCGGGGATTTCTCCCTTAACTAGTATGAAGCTGCTGGAAGGGGGTTTCTTGGCCAGCACAGAGCTACTGGAAAGAAACTACCATGCCCTGGTGCTTGCAGGCATCAGTGCAAGGGGCATGGCCAAAGCGTGCTGCCTTCTGGCTTGGCTTTCCTGCCACCTCTGGGCTCAGGCACATGGGTCCCAGAGCGAGACCGAGGGGGAGGGGCGGAGCAGGCACTACTAGCTCCTCTGACCCATTGGCTCTTTTCCCAGCACTTCATAATGGGGAGCAGTAAAAACCAGCTGCTGACCCCTGCTGACTCCTGCTGGGGAGGTGGAGAGGCTCCTGGATGGCCAATGACAGGGATGAGGCAGGCAGTTCTTGGGGATCATGTGCATTAAGGGTTCTGATTATCTCCCCAAGCAACAGGGCCTGCAAATACCAATGGCACCCTTGCCACGGGTAGGGTACTCTAGGTACAAAGTGATCCCACGAGGGGCGAGCTCCCACTGGAGCCATGCAAGAAACAAGATGTAAGTGAGCTCTCAGATAAATCACAATTACCTGTGCAGGTAGCATGAGTGGACCTGGGCACCCAATTAGGCAAGTAATTACCAAGTCTGTGCAACCAGGCGCTTAGTTAGCCAGCTATGCCTTAGGCCCCCAAGCTGTCTCACAGTGACCGGTCAAGGGCAGGCTCACCTCTGTGTTGTGATTAACCCCCCTGTGGCTTGTGAATGCCAAGGCAAACCCACTGGGTCATTTCCTATTCAAACACACATGCAGCAATAGTTCTTGCCTGCCCAGAGAGCCCCTATGCTTTGTGCTTCACTTTGCAGCAGGAGTGGATCAAACTCCTGCCCTATCCTGCTAGCAAAATTGGGGCAGTCCCACAGTCTTAAAGATTTGCCTGCAGTGTTGTTATTTTCATAAAGGTAGCACGTAGGCACCCCAGCTGAGATCAGAGCCCCATTGTGCTAAGGGTTGCATATAGTAGATCAAGTAATAGATCTGAATCTAAGTAGGCAAGACAGACAGAGGACAAATTGTTCCCATTGCACAGGTAGGGAACTGAGGCACAGAGAGACTAACTGACATGGCCAAGGTCACACCTGCGGTACATAGCAGAGCTGGGAAGGGAACCAGATTGCCTTTGTCCATGGCCAATGCCACACTGTAGTGATCATGCACAGTAGCTACTTTTAAAAACAACATCCAATGAAAAACCATGCTGTTTTTTTTCCCTTATGTCTGATGAATGTTTGTGAAATTCTCAAGTAAGGCACAGAATGGCTCTGTTCCTTTCTCAGTCAGGCTGGAATGAATTAAGCCGCTCACACAAATTGCTTCTGTTAAAAGCATGCATCTTCAGGCTAAAAGACTAGGGAAACAAATGGGAAGGAATTTGGCAACTGTTCATGGAATGTATTGACACAGAATAAAGGGCCGGG